TAAGTTTTAAAAATTTCACGCTTTGTATCGATGGACATTAAAAAATAATTTTTAAAAAATCCACGCCTTGTGTGTATGGACCTTAAAAAATAATTTTTAAAAAATCCACGCCTTGTGTGTATGGACCTTAAAAAATAATTTTTAAAAAATCCACGCCTTGTGTGTATGGACCTTAAAAAATAATTTTTAAAAAATCCACGACGACCTTAAAAAATCCACGCCTTGTGTGTATGGACCTTAAAAAATAATTTTTAAAAAATCCACGCCTTGTGTGTATGGACCTTAAAAAATAATTTTTAAAAAATCCACGCCTTGTGTGTATGGACCTTAAAAAATAATTTTTAAAAAATCCACGCCTTGTGTGTATGGACCTTAAAAAATAATTTTTAAAAAATCCACGCCTTGTGTGCCTTGTGTGTATGGACCTTAAAAAATAATTTTTAAAAAATCCACGCCTTGTGTGTATGGACCTTAAAAAATAATTTTTAAAAAATCCACGCCTTGTGTGTATGGACCTTAAAAAATAATTTTTAAAAAATCCACGCCTTGTGTCTTGTGTGTATGGACCTTAAAAAATAATTTTTAAAAAATCCACGCCTTGTGTGTATGGACCTTAAAAAATAATTTTTAAAAAATCCACGCCTTGTGTGTATGGACCTTAAAAAATAATTTTTAAAAAATCCACGCCTTGTGTGTATGGACCTTAAAAAATAATTTTTAAAAAATCCACGCCTTGTGTGTATGGACCTTAAAAAATAATTTTTAAAAAATCCACGCCTTGTGTGTCGATGGACCTTAAAAAATAATTTTTAAAAAATCCACGCCTTGTGTGTATGGACCTTAAAAAATAATTTTTAAAAAATCCACGCCTTGTGTGTATGGACCTTAAAAAATAATTTTTAAAAAATCCACGCCTTGTGTGTATGGACCTTAAAAAATAATTTTTAAAAAAATGGACCTTAAAAATAATTTTTAAAAAATCCACGCCTTGATATGGACCTTGAAAAATAATTTTTAAAAAATGTGTCGATGCTTAAAAAATATTTTTTAAAAAATCCACGCCTTGTGTCGATGGACCTTAAAAAATAATTTTTAAAAAATCCACGCCTTGTGTGTCGATGGACCTTAAAAAATAATTTTTAAAAAATCCACGCCTTGTGTGTATGGACCTTAAAAAATAATTTTTAAAAAATCCACGCCTTGTGCGTCGATGGACCTTAAAAAATAATTTTTAAAAAATCCACGCCTTGTGTGTCGATGGACCTTAAAAAATAATTTTTAAAAAATCCACGCCTTGTGTGTCGATGGACCTTAAAAAATAATTTTTAAAAAATCCACGCCTTGTGTGTCGATGGACCTTAAAAAATAATTTTTAAAAAATCCACGCCTTGTGTGTCGATGGACCTTAAAAAATAATTTTTAAAAAATCCACGCCTTGTGTGTCGATGGACCTTAAAAAATAATTTTTAAAAAATCCACGCCTTGTGTGTCGATGGACCTTAAAAAATAATTTTTAAAAAATCCACGCCTTGTGTGTCGATGGACCTTAAAAAATAATTTTTAAAAAATCCACGCCTTGTGTGTCGATGGACCTTAAAAAATAATTTTTAAAAAATCCACGCCTTGTGTGTCGATGGACCTTAAAAAATAATTTTTAAAAAATCCACGCCACGCCTTTGTGTGTATGGACCTTAAAAAATAATTTTTAAAAAATCCACGCCTTGTGTGTCGATGGACCTTAAAAAATAATTTTTAAAAAATCCACGCCTTGTGTGTCGATGGACCTTAAAAAATAATTTTTAAAAAATCCACGCCTTGTGTGTATGGACCTTAAAAAATAATATTTAAAAAATCCACGCCTTGTGTGTCGATGGACCTTAAAAAATAATTTTTAAAAAATCCACGCCTTGTGTGTCGATGGACCTTAAAAAATAATTTTTAAAAAATCCATGGACCTTAAAAAATAATTTTTAAAAAATCCACGCCTTGTGTGTCGATGGACCTTAAAAAATAATTTTTAAAAAATCCACGCCTTGTGTGTATGGACCTTAAAAAATAATTTTTAAAAAATCCACGCCTTGTGTGTATGGACCTTAAAAAATAATTTTTAAAAAATCCACGCCTTGTGTGTATGGACCTTAAAAAATAATTTTTAAAAAATCCACGCCTTGTGTGTATGGACCTTAAAAAATAATTTTTAAAAAATCCACGCCTTGTGTGTATGGACCTTAAAAAATAATTTTTAAAAAATCCACGCCTTGTGTGTATGGACCTTAAAAAATAATTTTTAAAAAATCCACGCCTTGTGTGTATGGACCTTAAAAAATAATTTTTAAAAAATCCACGCCTTGTGTGTATGGACCTTAAAAAATAATTTTTAAAAAATCCACGCCTTGTGTGTATGGACCTTAAAAAATAATTTTTAAAAAATCCACGCCTTGTGTGTATGGACCTTAAAAAATAATATTTAAAAAATCCACGCCTTGTGTGTTTGGACCTTAAAAAATAATTTTTTAAAAAAATCCACGCCTTGTGTGTATGGACCTTAAAAAATAATTTTTAAAAAATCCACGCCTTGTGTGTATGGACCTTAAAAAATAATTTTTAAAAAATCCACGCCTTGTGTGTATGGACCTTAAAAAATAATTTTTAAAAAATCCACGCCTTGTGTGTATGGACCTTAAAAAATAATTTTTAAAAAATCCACGCCTTGTGTGTATGGACCTTAAAAAATAATTTTTAAAAAATCCACGCCTTGTGTGTACGCCTTGTGTGGACCTTAAAAAATAATTTTTAAAAAATCCACGCCTTGTGTGTATGGACCTTAAAAAATAATTTTTAAAAAATCCACGCCTTGTGTGTATGGACCTTAAAAAATAATTTTTAAAAAATCCACGCCTTGTGTGTATGGACCTTAAAAAATAATTTTTAAAAAATCCACGCCTTGTGTGTATGGACCTTAAAAAATAATTTTTAAAAAATCCACGCCTTGTGTGTATGGACCTTAAAAAATAATTTTTAAAAAATCCACGCCTTGTGTGTATGGACCTTAAAAAATAATTTTTAAAAAATCCACGCTTAAAAAATAATTGTGTGTAAAAAATCCACCTTAAAAAATAATTTTTAAAAAATCCACGCCTTGTGTGTATGGACCTTAAAAAATAATTTTTAAAAAATCCACGCCTTGTGTGTATGGACCTTAAAAAATAATTTTTAAAAAATCCACGCCTTGTGTGTATGGACCTTAAAAAATAATTTTTAAAAAATCCACGCCTTGTGTGTATGGACCTTAAAAAATAATTTTTAAAAAATCCACGCCTTGTGTGTATGGACCTTAAAAAATAATTTTTAAAAAATCCACGCCTTGTGTGTATGGACCTTAAAAAATAATTTTTAAAAAATCCACGCCTTGTGTGTATGGACCTTAAAAAATAATTTTTAAAAAATCCACGCCTTGTGTGTATGGACCTTAAAAAATAATTTTTAAAAAATCCACGCCTTGTGTGTATGGACCTTAAAAAATAATTTTTAAAAAATCCACGCCTTGTGTGTATGGACCTTAAAAAATAATTTTTAAAAAATCCACGCCTTGTGTGTATGGACCTTAAAAAATAATTTTTAAAAAATCCACGCCTTGTGTGTATGGACCTTAAAAAATAATTTTTAAAAAAACCACGCCTGCTATGGAGGGACCTTAAAAAATAATTTGTAAAAAATGTGTGTGGACCTTAAAAAATAATTTTTAAAAAATCCACGCCTTGTGTGTATGGACCTTAAAAAATAATTTTTAAAAAATCCACGCCTTGTGTGTATGGACCTTAAAAAATAATTTTTAAAAAATCCACGCCTTGTGTGTATGGACCTTAAAAAATAATTTTTAAAAAATCCACGCCTTGTGTGTATGGACCTTAAAAAATAATTTTTAAAAAATCCACGCCTTGTGTGTCCACGCCTTGTGTGTGGACCTTAAAAAATAATTTTTAAAAAATCCACGCCTTGTGTGTATGGACCTTAAAAAATAATTTTTAAAAAATCCACGCCTTGTGTGTATGGACCTTAAAAAATAATTTTTAAAAAATCCACGCCTTGTGTGTATGGACCTTAAAAAATAATTTTTAAAAAATCCACGCCTTGTGTGTATGGACCTTAAAAAATAATTTTTAAAAAATCCACGCCTTGTGTGTATGGACCTTAAAAAATAATTTTTAAAAAATCCACGCCTTGTGTGTATGGACCTTAAAAAATAATTTTTAAAAAATCCACGCCCACGCCTTAAAAAATAATTTTTAAAAAATCCACGCCTTGTGTTGGACCTTAAAAAATAATTTTTAAAAAATCCACGCCTTGTGTGTCGATGGACCTTAAAAAATAATTTTTAAAAAATCCACGCCTTGTGTGTCGATGGACCTTAAAAAATAATTTTTAAAAAATCCACGCCTTGTGTGTCGATGGACCTTAAAAAATTATTTTTAAAAAAATCCACGCCTTGTGTCGATGGACCTTAAAAATAATTTTTAAAAAATCCACGCCTTGTGTGTATGGACCTTAAAAAATATTTTTTAAAAAATCCACGCCTTGTGTGTATGGACCTTAAAAAATAATTTTTAAAAAATCCACGCCTTGTGTGTATGGACCTTAAAAAATAATTTTTAAAAAATCCACGCCTTGTGTGTATGGACCTTAAAAAATAATTTTTAAAAAATCCACGGCTTGTGTATATGGACCTTAAAAAATAATTTTTAAAAAATCCACGCCTAATATATTTCCTTAAAATGTTTTTGCTGTAATGACTCATGGAGAGTCATTACCACTACATCCCCATTGCTTGGCCTTCACTTTAAATTCCATAACCCGAACACCCTAATATGTGTGACCTTATCAGCATTCGAAGTGTTAAAGCTTCATAACCACGAAGTCCACCAGAAGTAGCACAAATTCATTTTGCAATTTAGTTGATATAAAACTTCGCACAAGAAAACACATTCGCTTCTGCTAAAGAAATGACCAAAAATCTGTTCCAGTTTTGCCTTCTTCTCCTCCTACTATTGGAGCTGATGTCTCTGGCGGAGGCCCAAGTCTGTTTCCAGAATATCACCCGCCCAATGAATGTCAAACGAGATAATCGATTTGTCAAGGCAAATATCACAACCACTATAAAAGTTTGCTGTGAAGGATACGAACGCGATCCGAAGGAAAAAAGCCGGTGCAAACCGATTTGTGAAGAGGGATTTTCATATGCCAAGGGTCAGTGTATACCGAAATGTGATAACTGTGAGCTCGGAGAATGTTTATCGCCGCAAAACTGCAAATGTAATAACGAAGGCTATAGCTGGTCGGCTGATAGAGGATGTGGCCCAATATGTCCGGAAAATTGCGGAAATGGTGAATGCCACGAACCGGGTGTGTGCAAATGTTTGCCTGGTTTTCATTACACGGCCGCTGAGGGCTGTGTAGCTGTTGAGAATAATCGAAATGATCAGATCACACATGAGGAGGGGCAGGATGACAGCAATGGTCCCGAAATAGAAGGGTATATTAGATACTTCGGCAAGAAACTTCATTTTATTGGTCACATATTAAAGGAATCTAAGTAAAAAATAGTTATTAATTTTTTCTAAGCTTTTTTTTTTTTGTAAAAAATAATCCAAAAAATTTTTATTTAAAAAAAATGCAATTAAAAAAAATTTTGAAAAAAATAGATGAAACACATACTCCATGCTATGTAGATTTTTTTTATCTTAGAATTGCCATAATCTCTAAAAAAACATGTTCGGAATTTTTTCGAAGTCGCTTTTATCTTTAACTGTGTAAAATCGTATTGTGGAGGCGAGAAAAAAAAGAAAACAAAACCAATGATAAAGACTGTGGGAGCCAAACACCCAAAGCTGATAAAATTCAAACAAAATTCTCATGCTGCTGCATTTCTTGGAGGCATAATATGAAGCGATTGTTCGATCATGCAAACGATGGTTGGTTAAAAATGATTAAGAAAAAAATCCGAAGTAACATTTAAAAGATATATTTTTTCAGGATTATTTTCTAAGGTCCACACACAGAAGGTGTGGATTTTTTAAAAAATATTTTTTAAGGTCCATACACACAAGGCGTGGATTTTTTAAAAATTATTTTTAAGGTCCATCGACGCAAGGCGTGGATTTTTTAACAATTATTTTTAAGGTCCATCGACACACAAGGCGTGGATTTTTTAAAAATTATGTTTTAAGGTCGATACACACAAGGCGTGGATTTTTTAAAAATTATTTTTTAAGGCGTGGATTTTTTAAAAATTATTTTTTAAGGCGTGGATTTTTTCAAAATTATTTTTTAAGGCGTGGATTTTTTAAAAATTATTTTGTAAGGCGTGGATTTTTTAAAAAATATTTTTTAAGGCGTGGATTTTTTAAAAAATATTTTTTAAGGCGTGGATTTTTTAGAAATTATTTTTTAAGGCGTGGATTTTTTAAAAATTATTTTTTAAGGCGTGGATTTTTTAAAAATTATTTTTTAAGGCGTGGATTTTTTAAAAATTATTTTTTAAGGCGTGGATTTTTTAAAAATTATTTTTTAAGGCGTGGATTTTTTAAAAATTATTTTTTAAGGCGTGGATTTTTTAAAAATTATTTTTTAAGGCGTGGATTTTTTAAAAATTATTTTTTAAGGCGTGGATTTTTTAAAAATTCTTTTTTAAGGCGTGGATTTTTTAAAAATTATTTTTTAAGGCGTGGATTTTTTAAAAATTATTTTTTAAGGCGTGGATTTTTTAAAAATTATTTTTTAAGGCGTGGATTTTTTAAAAATTATTTTTTAAGGCGTGGATTTTTTAAAAATTATTTTTTAAGGCGTGGATTTTATAAAAATTATTTTTTAAGGCGTGGATTTTTTAAAAATTATTTTTTAAGGCGTGGATTTTTTAAAAATTATTTTTTAAGGCGTGGATTTTTTAAAAATAAAAAATAAATTTTTTTGAGGGACACCTATAAGGCGTGGATTTTTTAAAAATTATTTTTTAAGGCGTTTCTTTTTTAAAAATAAAAAATATTTTTTAAGGCGTGGATTTTTTAAAAATTATTTTTTAAGGCGTGGATTTTTTAAAAATTATTTTTTAAGGCGTGGATTTTTTAAAAATTATTTTTTAAGGCGTGGATTTTTTAAAAATTATTTTTTAAGGCGTTGATTTTTTAAAAATTATTTTTTAAGGCGTGGATTTTTTAAAAATTATTTTTTAAGGCGTGGATTTTTTAAAAATTATTTTTTAAGGCGTGGATTTTTTAAAACTTATTTTTTAAGGCGTGGATTTTTTAAAAAATTATTTTTTAAGGCGTGGATTTTTTAAAAATTATTTTTTAAGGTTCTTATCTTTCTATTGCGAACACCCTTTACATAAAATATTTTTTTTTATCAACCATAAAAATGTTTAGCTAAAAACCCCTAGCTCGAATTCCGAAAAACATGAATTGAAAACCGATTTGCGAAATAGTTGATAACGAACTTTATCCGCGACAACACACAAACTAAGTCACAACCGGATTATGGCCACGGACACGCGACGTTCGATATTTTTAAAGCTCGCCATCATGTCATCGCTTCTGATGGTGGTCCGGTGTCAAATGTGTTTACAGGAGAAGACCAAAATCAAGGCCGTCGTACGCAATGGCCGCTTGGAAAGGGTACCCATAAAGGCAATGGTCAAGGACTGTTGTGAAGGTTACATGGCCGATGAAGCTAATCCCTCACAGTGCGTATCGATTTGTCACGATGGCTTCGCCTTCGTAGACGGAGTTTGTATTCCGAGCTGTGAGAATTGTGAAAATGGTGAATGCCTGGCACCGGATGAATGTAAATGCAACGATGGCTATGCGGAGACGAGTAAAGGGTGTGAGCCAATCTGTGATGAGTGCATCAATGCGGTGTGTATCAAACCGGGGGTGTGTGAGTGCAAGGAGGGCTTTGTTTCCACCCCTCATGGTTGTGTCCCCTCACCATGTCAAGGTTGTGAAAATGGCTATTGCCTAAAATCGGGTGAATGTCAGTGTTCGGCTGGCTATAGATGGTCCATGCGCGATCACAAATGTAAACCGAAGTGTAAACATCGTTGTCGTAACGGCTTTTGTTCGGCACCGAATCAATGTTCGTGCTATGAAGGCTATCGAAAATTGGCGAACAATGAATATATTTGTCTGCCCAAGAAATGGGATGAAGACAGAGGGGATGACGATAACAATGCTGAGGATTATGATGAGGAATCTATTGGAGGTGGTGGTGCTGGTATTGGTGGCAGTAGTGCCGCCGATTTTTTCGCAGCCAATTTAATTGATGAACAAAGATGGAAGAAATTTTTAAAAATTGCACCAGAAAAATCTCCACTTTTGGTGATATTGAAAGTGTTGTGAGAAAATGTATTTATAGGAAGCATTAATAAAAATTAATTAATAAAAATCGAAAAAAAATTAATTTTTAAAGGCCGAATATAAATTTGTCGTGGATTTTTTAAAAATTATTTTTTTTTAATTAGACAAGGCGTGGATTTTTTAAAAATTATTTTTTATTAATTAGACAAGGCGTGGATTTTTTAAAAATTATTTTTTATTAATTAGACAAGGCGTGGATTTTTTAAAAATTATTTTTTATTAATTAGACAAGGCGTGGATTTTTTAAAAATTATTTTTTATTAATTAGACAATGCGTGGATTTTTTAAAAATTATTTTTTTTTTTAAAAGGCGTGGATTTTTTTAAAAATTATTTTTTATGGTTCATACACATGGCGTGGATTTTTTTAAAAATTATTTTTTATGAATTAGACAAGGCGTGGATTTTTTAAAAATTATTTTTTATTAATTAGACAAGGCGTGGATTTTTTAAAAATTATTTTTTATTAATTAGACAAGGCGTGGATTTTTTAAAAATTATTTTTTATTAATTAGACAAGGCGTGGATTTTTTAAAAATTATTTTTTATTAATTAGACAAGGCGTGGATTTTTTAAAAATTATTTTTTATTAATTAGACAAGGCGTGGATTTTTTAAAAATTATTTTTTATTAATTAGACAAGGCGTGGATTTTTTAAAAATTATTTTTTATTAATTAGACAAGGCGTGGATTTTTTAAAAATTATTTTTTATTAATTAGACAAGGCGTGGATTTTTTAAAAATTATTTTTTATTAATTAGACAAGGCGTGGATTTTTTAAAAATTATTTTTTATTAATTAGACAAGGCGTGGATTTTTTAAAAATTATTTTTTATTAATTAGACAAGGCGTGGATTTTTTAAAAATTATTTTTTTATTAATTAGACAAGGCGTGGATTTTTTAAAAATTATTTTTTATTAATTAGACAAGGCGTGGATTTTTTAAAAATTATTTTTTATTAATTAGACAAGGCGTGGATTTTTTAAAAATTATTTTTTATTAATTAGACAAGGCGTGGATTTTTTAAAAATTATTTTTTATTAATTAGACAAGGCGTGGATTTTTTTAAAAATTAATTTTTATTAATTAGACAAGGCGTGGATTTTTTAAAAATTATTTTTTATTAATTAGACAAGGCGTGGATTTTTTAAAAATTATTTTTTATTAATTAGACAAGGCGTGGATTTTTTAAAAATTATTTTTTATTAATTAGACAAGGCGTGGATTTTTTAAAAATTATTTTTTATTAATTAGACAAGGCGTGGATTTTTTAAAAATTATTTTTTATTAATTAGACAAGGCGTGGATTTTTTAAAAATTATTTTTTATTAATTAGACAAGGCGTGGATTTTTTAAAAATTATTTTTTATTAATTAGACAAGGCGTGGATTTTTTAAAAATTATTTTTTATTAATTAGACAAGGCGTGGATTTTTTAAAAATTATTTTTTATTAATTAGACAAGGCGTGGATTTTTTAAAAATTATTTTTTATTAATTAGACAAGGCGTGGATTTTTTAAAAATTATTTTTTATTAATTAGACAAGGCGTGGATTTTTTAAAAATTATTTTTTATTAATTAGACAAGGCGTGGATTTTTTAAAAATTATTTTTTATTAATTAGACAAGGCGTGGATTTTTTAAAAATTATTTTTTATTAATTAGACAAGGCGTGGATTTTTTATAAATTATTTTTTATTAATTAGACAAGGCGTGGATTTTTTAAAAATTATTTTTTATTAATTAGACAAGGCGTGGATTTTTTACAAATTATTTTTTATTAATTAGACAAGGCGTGGATTTTTTACAAATTATTTTTTATTAATTAGACAAGGCGTGGATTTTTTACAAATTATTTTTTATTAATTAGACAAGGCGTGGATTTTTTAAAAATTATTTTTTATTAATTAGACAAGGCGTGGATTTTTTAAAAATTATTTTTTATTAATTAGACAAGGCGTGGATTTTTTAAAAATTATTTTTTATTAATTAGACAAGGCGTGGATTTTTAAAAAATTATTTTTTATTAATTAGACAAGGCGTGGATTTTTTAAAAATTATTTTTTATTAATTAGACAAGGCGTGGATTTTTTAAAAATTATTTTTTATTAATTAGACAAGGCGTGGATTTTTTAAAAATTATTTTTTATTAATTAGACAAGGCGTGGATTTTTTAAAAATTATTTT